CTGGAAAAATATAGTATTTGCAATCTACTTTTTCCATGCATTTAAAAAGATTCATGCCATTCTTTAGAATACTGTTCCACACCCTCTTGGAAAAAGTAAACATACCTGTGCTTAGGGAAGCCTCACAGATTTTGAAGTACTCTGATAAAACACCATGCAGATGTATGTAAATGCTTGCACTTTTGCACATGCTTTACAGCTTCATGTATGACGTATCTATTACATGGTGTTCGTGGTGCTTTGTGGAAGGTATAGGGCGCGGGTCAGAGTTCAGCATTGATGGTGTGGCAGGTGCAGCTCTGGCCCCTCGACTCTCCCACCTCTTCACGCTGCTCAGCCACAGAAAGACGAGTGTAAATGAGTGCTCTCCAAAGCCATCACCTGCTCCCCCCTCCGCCCCACCAGCCCCTAACTCAGACTGAGGTGTCAAACCAGCGCGGCCTGGCTACTCCACTGGACCTAATGAGATACACAAGAAGACACGCAGGCACAACTTTGATCAATTTACAATGAATTGAATGACATTGTTATCTTTGGCATTGTTATTAAATTATCTTTCATTTAATCCTGTTTTTAAATATTTTTTCACGACTAGACAACAACGAATTAACTTATACGCAGTTCTGTGTAGCATAAAACTGAAAGATTTATCTGGGCGTTTTTATTATGATATTATGTTATATATTTTCACATCCTGGATGTTACAAAAGTCCAGTTTTGTTCCTGGCACAAAACTAGAAAAGAACGGTTACCCCGTACATAGTTCCTAGATTTCGAGAGTTCTAACTATAGACAAACCAACAAGAAAAAGTCTAGTAAAAATATAAGATCCACAGCAAAACATTTTATATGTAAATAAACCGTTTCAAAATATTTTCTCACAGGATTGTATTTACAATAAAATTTTCTTTTAACAACATTCTTATAGTCCGACCTGAGTTGTGAAACATGTTTTGACAGTTTATATAAATTACAAAAAAGACAAGACAAGACAAGCGATGCTGTACCGTTTACAAAATATACTCATATAAAGAAATGGTGATTTTTCCTCATTTTTAGCCCCTATTTGGTTTATCATTGCAGTTTCTGTGTCCTTTGAAAACAGCAATTTTGATGAATTGTGCAGCCCTACAAACAGCCGTAATATATATCTGTTTTTTGTCATGTTTACTTTAAGCCTTGGAAGTCAATCAGCTGCAGTATATTATAGGAGTGCATGGATGGGTCTGTATTGATGGGTGCTCCTCCCAGCGTCTCTCCGTGCTCCATTGTGCCCTGTTGAGTGGATGTATCCTCCTGCTGAAGGCCAGTGGAATGTGTCTGCCCAGTCTTGGTGTGATGGATGGCCCCTTGTTTTGCACTCCTCCGCCCCTCCCTCTGAATCCCTCTTTCTCTTCCCGAGCCTTTGACGCTTTCATCACATCTCTTTCTTCGGCTGCAATAAAAGTCAGTGATTCTTCATCAGGCCTTGTGCAGATCTGAGGCCTGTGTTATTTCTCATCAGGAGCGTGTCACACATCACCATTCACACACTCCCAGCGCGGGCACACAGGCCGAGCAGGTGGAGATACACCATCAATGAATTATGGAAATCCAGCATCAAGCATGTCCCTTAAATTTAATTAAAGGCTTGCTTTTGGGTGTTTAGTACTTTTCTACGGCCATTTAGTAACAACAGGAAAATACAGCTGCACGCATTGTTCTTTTATCATTATTTTATCACATGCTATAACTTCCTTTTATTATTCAAAATTATTGAAATAGGGTGCACTTGAAGCCAATACCTTTAAAATAATTAACAATATATTCATTTAAAAATAGAACCAGTCACGGATTGACAGTTGACAGAACATGGGGCCAATTCATTCCAGAGACTTTAAGGCTCTTTCGCCTGAAGCTTAATATTGAAAATGTGAATTCATTACAAACATGTATTTTTATAAAATCTGTAGAATAGACAATAGTATTTGGTTGTCAGATTATAATTTAAACAGTCCAGCTTTATATGCCATGCCTTTTGTAATTTTAGGCATTGCATTTCCTTCCTTTTTGTTCTTATGTGCTCGTTCACAGAATACACACTTATAAATGAATTTCCTCTCTTGGGCTTTGTATAAAACAAATATGTCACTATTTCAAAAGTATTACTCAACAGAGGGTTGCATAAGAAGCTCTAAACCCTATATAAATGACTCATAGACTCAAGAGTATCCTCTGAGCGACATCAGCATCACGCCGAGCTAAAAGCATCACTTACAGAAATATAAGTAGCTCATTGTATTCCTCACATTAACGTTCAGATAAACAGAATCAGTCGCCTCTGTCAAAAGAGAACAATGTTATAACCTGGATGTTAGGAGCTATAATCATTGTGTTTGTATTCTTCTTTACGATTGCAGGTTTACATAACACTGTGTGAGAAACGTGGATCTTACAAACGTTGTTCTGACCAAATCCTATGTTCTCAGATACTTTACACATTACATATTTTATGTGTCCCCAGATAATAGGTCAGCATGTACACTGTAAACCCTAACTTCAATCCTACTTCAGATATCAAAGTTATTTTAAATAGATTTTTCCCAGTAAGTAGATATTACTCATTTATTGTTAGTTTATTTAAAGCTTGCCTATGTCACTCAGGGTTTTCTTTGAATTGAACTGTTTCTGTTCAAGTAAGCCTCACTTTTGACATTTTGATGTGTAGAGTCTTTAATGAGACAGGTATGTGAATGTCAGAGTGTCCTGGTGGCTGAGTGGGTAGCACCATTGCCTCTCAACCACAGGGTTCTGAGTACGAATCCCGGTCGGAACATAAGTAGAAATTTAAACTTTATTGCAATCACTCGAGTTTACTTGGTAATATCAAGTAAACAATGTACTCGAGGAATTCAAGTGAAGTTAATACGCAATTTATTTCCATGGTTTTTTCAAGTAAACTTTACTTGTCAGGGTTTACAGTGTACATACAAATCATATTTAACTTTTTTTGGGATGAAAATGAATTAATCTTAAATAATATTATGATGGATATTATGTTTATTAAATTATATCTATAAAAGACTTTCATTTGAGCAGTTTTTAAGGTGAAATTGAGCTGAGGTTGGCTTTATCTATTTTCTATTACACAATCAAAAATAAAAAAGGGCCACACATTTGATACAATTATAAGAGATAAATAAAAACAAAGTCATACAAATAAAATACACAAAGCATTTCTATTTAAACTCCAGCAGGTAGATTGCATCAGTAATCAGTCTTTCAAAGCTTTATCACAGGCAGAAATGTTCTGGCATCTAGATTGTAATTGTAACATATGACTGTATTAGACCATTAAGAGTTCATTTATTTATTTTTATTTTTATTTATTTATTTATTTGATCGGGACAACACACATTAATGAACAATCATATACAGTTGTACACAGATTGTAAATGTGCCAGATTATAGCAAAACTGCTAATTTACATCTGTAGTCCCGAGGCAGGTCACACAAGTAAAACAATGTATGAACAAAACATACATACAAAACACAATATAAAAACTTTATAAATCACATTTTAGTTAAAATGAGTGCATGACTGATTTACTTTGATGTGATGTTTAAGTTGTTTCTTAAAGGAGCTGTATGTCGGGCATTCTCTTATGTCTGTAGGAAGGCTGTTCCAAGACTGGCCTCCTCTGACGGACAGCACAGTTTGTCCAAATGTTGTTTTTCTGTGTGGGATCTCCACATCTCCTCTGGAGGAGGCTCTGGTGCGGAGACCCCTCATTGCTTTAAGTTTAATGTAGTTACATAGTGGGGGCGGGGCAAGACCATGAAGTGCTTTGTAAACAAGGCAACAGTTTTTAAAATTTATGAAATTTTGAAAATTTAGCATTTTATATTTTTCCAGGATATTGCAGTGATGATATGACCAAGGCTTTTGATCCAGAATTTTTATGGACTTTTTGAAGAGGACTTTTTTTTATTTCACCCTTCATATGTTTAAAACATATGGCATTGTGTTTAATTGTATTTTGTTATCATTCAATTTAAATGTTATTCACATTCTTGTATTAATATTTATTTGAATAATTAATTGCGTCTCTTTTTGAAATTTGTGATACTTTGTTTTTATTGCATTGAATTCTATCTGGCTTTTTGAAACAACTGCTTGATTAAGAGAAAATTGAAAGCCTTTCACATATTTTTCTAATGGTGTAAACAATGGCTTTTACAAAGTGGGCAAACGCAAGACAAAATATACGTATAAGTGATCTGGCCTTGTGTAGGTTTTGAGCACTTCAGTTGTGTATCCGTCGTTTGGACTTACTAACACCTGGGATTGGTTCTTTGTACAGTATATATATAATATTTTCTTTGTTGTTATTCTGTCGGAAAAACCTCTCAACCTGAGAATAAAACTTCCAGGTTACTCTGGTGTGCAAAGATCATGTCTTAAGTCCTTCATTTTTAACAGTAATTATCAGTTTTTTCAAATGAACTCACTACATACTGTAAATTTAGATGGACAAGAATAAAGATATCAAACTAACTCTCCAATTTGGATATTTTGTGTGTGTGTGTGTGTGTGTGTGTGTGTGTGTGTGTGTGTGTGTGTGTGTGTGTGTGTGTGTGTGTGTGTGTGTGTGTGTGTGTGTGTGTGTGTGTGTGTGTGTGTGTGTGTGTGTGTGTTGTTGTTGTTGATATTTGTGACTGAAAGGAGTCGATTATGCAACAAAACTGCAGTAAATAAAGACGAGGTCTGTTTTGGTCAAAGGCGTTATTTTGTCTTTGCTCTTTAGCACGTGCTCCATGTTTACGGCTGTTTATGTGTTCACAGAAGAAGCAGAACGCCTCTCGCCAGTCCTCTTCACACTCAGAAAAAACTGTTCCAGGCATTAAACATAAAAGGGAAAAAGGGCAGTAATGAATTTAGAGGAAAATGGACATTAATGGTATTAACATTACTCATGTTCCATATAACAAATTATTGGAAATTTGACAAGCACACCAAATTATCTCCTCATGGCTACCGGGAGTGTGCTGAAGCCCTCTCTACCTGCAGAGGAAAGACAATTTCTGCTCATTTGACTATTTTTAACAATAGAGCCGACCCATTAAGACAAATTAATGTCATTATCAAGTCTCTATGAAAATGACAAATACCGGCGTTTGGAGCAGCTTTAGAGGCCATTGACAATAATGAAATTCGCTGTACAGGTACTGAAAAGAAACACTCCAAGTAATTATTTTCTAGTAGCTTGTTTGTCTGCCATCCGTTCATTTGCTTTCAGCTCAATTATCTGACTCTGTGAGCATGTGGAGGCGCATAGTGCTTGGCGGCCCACGGAGCCAGGGCCCTAATTGGGCAATTACCGTTGTGTTTCAGGGCTTTTAGCTGCAGTGGAGAGTGGAGGGAGACCGCGACGAGCAGGAGAACCTGCCGCACATATCGACTACACACTGGCTTCACGCAAACAAAAACCCTGGTCACTACACACAGAATACGCAGATGAAGCCTACAGGCAACACCAACAGAAGAGCTACAGAAATGCTTTTAGTGATGTGTGTATACAATTAGGGATTATCACAAACAGCAGTTTTCCATTTTAACAGATCATGGACATAACACCTCCTGCTATATATATCTGAGAGCCCTCATGCTGTCACCTGCAGGGGTCACGTAGGTCACGGTCAAGGTGAGTTTGGAGCTGAAGCTGAACAGTGCTGCTTTTTGTAGATGACAAAATGGGATGTCTACATTTCAAAAACAATATTTAGTATGCATTCTTATTTGTTGAAAAAGTAATTACAATGACAACAAAAGTCATCAGCTGCAAGAGGAGGTCCTGTTTGAGGAGCACATGTGAAGCAGAGGGGATGACAATCAGCACCTCCAAATCCAAGGTCATAGTTCAGGACCAGAAATGCCTTTGCCCTTTCCAGGTGGGGCTCAGGTCTTTCCTAAAAGAGCAGCGCAGTACCACTCTCTCACATACTCACAAACCACAAACTCAAAAACAGGGCCTTTCTGAGTGGAGTTTGCATGTTCTCCCTGTGTTTGTGTAGGTTTCCTTTGGTTGGTGTACCGCTAAAAACATGTACAACAGGAGAAACCCTCCAGCTGTGGTATAGTCTGACTCCTGACCAAGCCGAGCATCAACATCTGAGATGTGCCTCCAGAAAATGCTCTGTGGCAACCACTGCCCCTGACAGAGGCCCTAGTGGCATTGCATGATGGGTCAAATGAGGCGAATTTCCCTATAGGAATCAATAAAGTGTACCTCCAACAGTCTACAGTCTACAATACTCAGCCTTCATTGTCTTTCAACCATGATTTTTTTCATTATAAAAAGTCACAGGTGCATAAAACTCTTGATTCCCCTGCTTTTGTCTCTCTTTTCAACAAGTACAACGTTCACTTTTTCTATTGCTAGTGTTAAAGAATGAAAAGATTTGGTCAACAGTTAGAAAGTTAGTGGTAAATATATCAATCCAGGTGTTAAACGGTGTGCACAGTTTTAGTGGCTTAAATAAACATCTGCGTGTGCATAGATCCGTCTGCTCTAATGTTCATACGCATACGCGCATACTTTGCGCGCACAAACAAACATGAAAAAGACATAACTTAATGCGCCCCGGCCTCAGCCAGAATCTCACTCAGCCCCCAGATAAATTGAGTTTGAGACCTCTGCTTTCACAAAATCTCAAAGTCTCATCTCATTAGAAAACATTACATATTTTACATAAGTGTAAGAAAGATCACGTTGAGTCACAATTGGACTCTTTGGTTTTGTCCAAACTGTTTCACTTTTCTGTTAGAAAAAGCTGATGAGAAGTCAAAACATACATCTATTGATAGAACCAAACTGTTGTGAGAGCTAAGACCTAGTTTGATATTATTACTTTATTCCATTTATTGTGGCTTGAAAATGTGATTGTTCAGATTGAAACATTCCAGCAACATGCAAAATATTATATCTCAAAATTACTATTATTATAAAATTCATGATTAAGTTACTGTTTGTTGTTTTGTTCAGATGAGTTTATTATGTGTTATTTCTCTCAATATAATACCACAAAATGCAGAGGTTAAGAGTAAGTAAATACCCATCAAAAGAAACCGCAGCAATAAAGCAATGTCCACGATGCTCTTGTCATTATTGTCAGCTGCACCATTATGTCCCGGTCCGTTTGTGGTCAAGGATCATGTGTCTCAGAAACTATGGGGCAACCAGCGGATCAAGGACAACAGCGAGTTAATGATAGAGCCGAGAGATTTACACCGAATGGTCTTTTTCTGCTAGAAATGTTATATTTGTGTTCGCTGCAAGATAATGGGGGTACATATAAGTTTATCTTTACTTTGTTGAGGCTTTATTCTACTGTTGGGTAATGTTCATGCGACATCACAACATTCTACAAAATGTACAGTTTAAATTTGTGGTGAAGGGCAGAGGAAAAATCTTTCCTGGTAACCATGGTAACTGTCAAAAACACAGCTAGTTCGAGTTCATTCTACGTCAGTACTTGTTTTTCTTTGTCAGTGGCATTTTTGAAATGCTTTTTAATGCTACTTAACTTGTGTAATGAATTTTTTTGTTTGCATGATTGTTTTAATGGATTTTATGTAATTTTATTGTAAAGAACTTTGTTCGCCTTGAGTGTTGTAAATAAAATGTGATTGACTGATTGATTTGAGTTTACATGTATTTCTTTGTCCAAACAACTACAGTCTAACTATTATCCCAAAAAAGTGGCAACAATATTCAATCATATGCATGATGTTGGCCGGTAGAAAGGAAGAAAGGACTTTCAGTTATAAGAATAAAAACGCAGGTTTATGAATCTAATCACTATCAAATCAAATTGGAAAACATTTTTGCCCTTAACATTTCTTTCAAAAATGACTTATTTCCCATTGCCCTCTAATTGAATCAGAATTCTAGATCATGAATGAAACCTACTTTATGTCAAATGTATTGTCCAACATAGCTCTAATGCAACTCAATTTTGAGGAGAAAAACAAAAACAATGTTTGTGACATTAACTAACAAAAGTTCCAACGCTCACTGTCACATCTAAAGTTTGTGCAAATGAGTTTCAGGAGATTCTGTAACATTGCCCTGAATTATAATTTTCCCTCTGACTCTCTGCAGATGCTCATTATGTTGATATGACAGCAGGCATTAATGTGCAAAAACAAAAGTCATTTCTCCACTTTACACCTGTGAAAGAAAAGTTGGCAGGAAAATTGCTGGTGACCCCACCCCTCCACAGCCACCACCACCCCCTCCCGTTAGAGCGCTGCTACACGCTCCAGGATCATGCAGCTTGTGTTAATTAAACCCTCTTTCAGATCATTTTCTTGCTCAAGTGGCCTCAGTGCAGCACCCATTAGGCAGAAAGCTCTGTTATCTGAATTTCCAAATGTAGCTCAACATTTATTAAAGTGAAATTCATCCAGTAATTGCCCGCCTCGGTATGGCCCGCGGCTGCCTCTTTACCTCCGAGGCTACATGCTCACAGACACCTCCAACTATTTACCACATGATGCGGTAATTAGACCCCGCCGACCCGGCCCGCTAAGAGCCCCATAATTGTGTTAATAAAAAAATTAACTCAGCAGCATGAGGATCATTATGTAAAAATACCTTCTAATGAGGCATTAGCCTTGATTTTATTTGGATTAAAAACAGCTATAGGCATTTAAAGGTTACTGTATCTGTGTTGTCTTGAATACAGAGCAGCTCTTATGGCTCCAAGAAGTGAAGTAGTTAAATGGCTTCTACAGTGTGAGCGAGTCTTAGACAGATGCCCCCAATGTTAAACTCTAGGTATTTATCATTATATTAATATATTTATATTTTCTATGTAGTAAATGCATGCATTGAGAAAAGTGTTATGTACTTTGTTCAAATGCAGGTTAAAACGACTGCATATATCTGCATCTGTCTCTTTTTAATATTAATGAAATGTGTGGAATGGTGTTTTATATTTTAATGCTAAAGTAAATAAATTGTTCTTATCTTATTAAACAAATAATAATTTCATCCAAAATTACTCTAATGTGGCTAAGCATTTAAATTTTGTTTTCACAATTATTAGAATTATTACTAACAAATTAGTAATTAGTAATAAATATTGTGATATAACATACTTTTACTTTCAGTATACTATGTACAGCAGTCCTTTGTTAATTAGAATAAAACAGACAAAATTCAATAAAGAAAGAAAGCAAAGTAAATATGTGTATTGTACTTTCATGACTATGTTTAATGTTAAATCTGCCCATTATTAAAGCCCAGTTGTGTAACATTTTAGTAATAACAAAGACTGATCCTAAAGTTAATTAGGATGATTTGGCAATAAAAAGTAAAAGGCTAACCTCTTTAACATAAAACAGAGAAAATTAAGATATTTTGTTAAACATTTAATTGGTTATGGTGTGCCTTCGGAAAGTGTTGCAGAGTTTTTGTTTTTTTATTTCTGTGAAAGTCTATAGTTTTTATTTCTAGTTCCACATCAGGCTTTCTGGGTGCTCTGTTCCCTGAGCTGAAGTTTACATGGCGCTAGTCCAGTTTTATGCAGTACTTACAGTGACACCCTCTGGCTTCTTTGGGCAACAGCAGCATTTTATTAACACTTGCACCTCAACCTCAACCTCAAAGTATTTTGTGATTAAATTCACATAATAAGATGATCGCCAATTTAAATGAAGAATATAAAATATTATTACAGGATTAAAATTGTAATTCTCTTCAAGACTAACACCTGCAGACCTAAGTTAAAATTCTTAAAACCCTAAGCTGTTGGAGAGTGTTTAAATCCCGTTGACTCCATGACCATCTGAACCACTGGCTTTAAGGCTAATGATGAAGAGATGGGGTCTAACGCGACTCCAGCAGAGACTCAAGCTGAGCCGGTCACACCACAGACCGTCTGACCTGGCCACCAGAGCTGGGATTTTCAAGGGATGGATTTAGTATTTTTGTTATTTCCTAGTCATATGAAAAAGGCATATTTTAATAATATGAGTAAACAACAATGGCTTTAAATGTGAGACTGACTGAGAGTACAGAACATACCACGTCAGGTCCATCCTCTTTCCGTCCTATTTCCGTCTCCTGATTCCACTTATAATGTTGACTCTACGCAAGACAAAATATTGTAATCATTATTTAAGGTCATAGAAATACACTGATAATAATGCCCTAAAAACAGTGTTGGAAAATTGTAAAAAATGTAATAAGATAGTTAGTCTCAATAAAGTAATAATTTAAGTGTACTCTGGGATTACATTTTATTTATAAATATATATTGCATTACTATTGAATTAGTAAGTAAGTAAGTAAGTAATATTTATTTATATACCTCCTTTCACAGACCAGAGTCACAAAACGGTTTACAATTGTTATTTTTGGGCACTTGTCCTCTCACTCCACACAGAGATGGGAGCGGGGTCGCCGAACAGGAGGCGCATGCCAGACCTATTGTACAAATTTTTAGTGGTAGGGGAAACCGGAGTACCCGGAGGAAACCTACGCAGACACAGGGAGAACATGCAAACTCCACTCAGAAAAGGCCTGGTCCGACCGGGATTCGAACCCAGGAACTGAATTACTATTGCAAGAGTAATTCAGTAAATAAATTGGCTCAAATTACTAAAACTAATCACAGAATGAGGTGAGTCTGAGAATTTCTGTGGTTTATTCCAAAATCAAAATGCTCCATGTTCAAGCTGTTTCTTTGTTCAAACTGTGGGAAATACTTTGTGACTGTATTCCAAAGTATTGCAGTACACAAAGTTACTTAAAATGTAATATAATTACTGCAATTAAGTATTTGGAAATAGTTGTAAGTTCATACAGAACAGTGCCAAATAATGTGTTCAACATGAGACTTTTGATAAATGTGTCATTTCTTTTGTGGTTTAAATATGACACAAAAGTAAAAAGTGGTATAACACCGCAAGTTGACTTTGTATTGATTTTAAATGATAATTTTCAAAAATGGTGAACGTATTTTTCATACATCCAGAATAAAAACATTTTTGTACCAAATGATTGTGTTCAGAAATGCAACTGAATGATTGTATCTTCACTTAATTATTTATAATTTTATGCCTTATATGATTGTGCCTTGTGTATTTACTGTGCTATACAATTAAACGTGCCTTGTCTTAATAAACAAAATATGTTATAAGATTATCCAATTAAATTTAAGGGGCTTAACCGGTTGAAACCTCCATAGATCAAATTAAATAAAACCCGGAACCGGGAGTCAGTGGACACTCAGGGTTCTGCATATGGATCCACTCCAGTGCAACATCTGTGCTGCCTTAGACCATCCTCAACTCCAGTGGAAAAAGAGAAACTGTCCAAAAATGACATACAGATAGAATACTAATAGTAGTACATTTGAATGAACCTTATGACTGCGGACACAAGTATTTACTGTCACTTTCACAACAATCAGTTCCTCAAATAGTTACTTTTATATTCTTTGTGTCTTTGTTGGATTGGCAGTATTCATGCTTTAGTGTTGTGTTGTGTGAATGGGAGAAGGCTCATCATTACCCACGGCCTGTACATCAGGGCGCCCGGACCCCACAGGAGCTCCAGCGTCCCACCCATTGACACCCACAACATAAACACCACACCAGGACCCAGTGCTGAAAAGACACTGGTCTGCGGTGGATACAGCTCAAGGAAACAGCACAAATCCTAATTAGGAAATGGTCTTTCTCATCTTGAATACTCTTTAGGGCATCTATTTATCAGTCAACCATGCACAATTATGCACCTGCTACATCTAAACAGTGTGAGATTTGTCCAAGCTCTTCCTAAAGAAATTTAAATGGAGGCGCTACAAAAGTAGACCATTTGCAGACCGAGAGAGTGCACTTATGTTTTGCTTCATGTTATTAATTTGAGCTTGAGAAAGTATATATACTCCGGTTTGGCATCTCAGTTCATGTAGGTTTAGTTAATTAAAAGCAGTCCTTCCAAAGTCCAATCAAACAATTAGGCGTTTGGATTTAAAATTTTCTACAAAAAGATTGTGTTAGCAAATGAATTGCTTCCTGACAAAAATGAATATCTTTTTTCTATCTTTTGCTTTCTAAAAGCATGAAAAGCTCTTACTGGGCACATGATACATACCGGTAGTTTAAATAATTAACATTCTATTGAAATCTTTGGCTATTATTTCAATCGTGAAAGAGTGATTACTCCATGGCTGTATTCATATCACATGTGTTCTGGAAAGCGAAGTAAAAGTACAAAAATACAACTCTATTTGTATTTCTTCATTATGCTGCATTATCCATTTTAGTAATTAGAACATATTGGTATATCTTTAATGGAATGGTTTGAAAAGCTTTCGGACGACAGGCAGGTGACAGCGGTTGACTGAAACATCCGAACCCTGAGCGAAGGTTAAAGCCAGAGAAGAAAGCGCAGATTAGCCTCTCTTTGACACCACAGCTTTAAACATATTTACCTTTTGTGGTGCATCTGACTGTAAAATCTTTTTATCATTAGTTCAATAGACCAATGAGGCAGAGGGTATCTTTGAGTCCAACAGAAACCATATTTTATGGAGGTTAGCTGTTTTGCGGTGAGGCCAGCACAGAAGCAGATGTCATTACAGTCACTACATTTTTACAACCATACATACAGTTTCTAAATGTTTGGACAAACAAGTTAATCTGAAGACAATGGCCACTTTATTCATGCTTCTAAAGGGGCTTTGAAGGCTTGGCCCAGAGAACTATTCTGTCAGGGCCTCAGTCTGAGTAAATGCCTACAAAGGACCAATCTTGAATGGATGGGGAGTTCTAGGGAATAATAGAAAAGCAAATGTTGAGAAATGAGAGCTTAGAAGACTAACAAATTTATAGACTCCGCACGGATTTTATTAATACAATTCCCGGGAGAAGGAGTGTCAACAAAGGCCTGAGGAGAGGGGGACCAGCGGAGGTCAAATTGTGTCAACCTGAGTTAGGTGCAGATGAGTGCTCTGGAGCTGACCTGCAGAGCCCAGCAGCATCACATCTCCAGTGGGCCATGAGCCAGCAGCCGACAGCCTCCCATTGGATCCATCCGCACAAGTGGTCTGCGTTTGTAAAAACGGCACCTTTGTGATCTGCAACAAATTAGACCATTGAAGCCATGAACAATAACAAGAATTCCAGTCTTACAGAGATGTTTTCTTATTGTATTTAACCAGATTTCACTAACTAAATTTGAGTTAATTTAGATAAATATAATGTCTTATTTTTCACATGTTTAACCGAATGTAACTGAGTAAATAAGTAGTTATATTTAACACTAGTGTAACAAAATCTTTATTCCTTGATGTCCCATTATTTCAATATCAAATTTAACTATGCAAACCATTGACACTGTTACTATGAGTTAACATACACACATACTCGTACAATTATTTAGGACAAATTACAATTATTTAGTGGTATCAAACTTTTTGGGACATCAACAAGTCTCTAAGCAAATAGCCATCTCCTGTTACATATGAGTAGACATCCCCCTAGTGGAGAAACCTGAATAGTGTGGCCAATATTTAATCTCTTAGATTACAGAATACAGCATGTAATTCTGGACTTTCCAGGCAACTGCGCTTCTGAAAATTTTCAATCAGTGTAATGAGTAGCTTCAAATCCCTTTTGCTCACTTGGCTCAATTTATGAATGAAGATTATTCAAACTTTTCAAAATCCTACAAAAAAGAAGAGTGTATGATTTATAGTAAACTTGATTCTCTATTACGTAACAATGATTGATTAAATAACTATTCATGTATTTATATCTAAAGGTAATTTTGGTCTTTTTACAACTCCATTAATGTTGTGTGCACTGGTCCTCACGTGCCTCTGAAAACAACAGTGGCTGTTTGCATTTTTTGCCTCGTCTGCTTTCAAAGATGTGCGTTTTTTTCTACCACCCAACACACGATGAGATTCCTTGGCGCACACAGTCACACAGGCTTTTAGACACTCATTAGCTCTTACTAATACAATAAGTGTCACCTTCCATTTCATGGTGCAGAGCGGGATATCAGGATTGGAAACTCACCAAATCTACTCACAAGGGTTGCAACCCCCTCATGCTTCATATTGTCTTTCCATTACAATGTAGGATTGTTTACCCATTTCTTGTTTACTGACGTATAAAGTCTTACAGTAAAAGTTACACAATGAATAGGTTTTTTTCCAAACATTGTGTGAACATTGTCTTTGTGAAGGTAGAGCAGAGATGAGGGCACAAGTTTAGAAGGCAGTAAATGCTCTAGACTTGTTAAGTGCAGTTATAGTGGTGGCAGCTGTTAAAGATGCGCCATGCCCCGCCTATTCAAGCCTGTTGTCTTGCAGAGGGACTGCACATGCAGCGTGGTAAAAAACAAAATCTTAATTAAGACTGCTAATTCTCCATGCTGTCGTCTGACCAAGGCTGTGTGCTCACGTGAAAAGGCCTGGATCTCAGCATGAGAGGCAACGCTGTTCTAAGACCTGTCATTTTTCTGTCTTTCACACAGCAGGATACCAAGCAAATTCATCAACGGACACTGCTGTTTGTGTGTGAACATGTGAAACCAGTTTGTGCTTCTATTTGTCTTTTGGATAGGGACTGTTTGTAAATGATACCCGGGCAGAGGATGATGGCATAGTTATAAAGAACCAATTCTATTATGTATTACATAACATCTACAACATAAGTAATACATACAAATGACTATACTTCACACACACAAAATAATTCTTGGTGATATTTTTTGTTTACAAAAAGTAGAAGTCTTGTTAGGCATGCCCTAACAAGTGTCATAGAGATCTACAGAATTTTAATTGGCAGTGCCTTTTGACACGGTAAGCCCAGAGGGTACTGTATGGGGTAAATGCAACCCCCCATTAACATGCACTAACAGTGCACTGTACCACTACACCACTAAAGAAGTGACAAGTATTTATACGTGTAAGGCTAAGGCTTTTGCATGTGAGCCTGTGGTTAGAGCTGCTCCCTCTGTGCGGAGCCAAAGGCCATGTGGTCCTCTGCATGCAGCAGATGCAGAGACGACTGGAGACAGATGAGTCCACAACAAGCGTGACATGTGTTAAACAGGGCAAAGCCCCGCAACACTGACGTTTGACAAGATGATGGGCGTATGTAATTATTATGGCCTCCACTTAAGTAAGCAGTAAATATTCAGTACTGCAAATGGACATGCAAGATATACATACAAATAAGCCTGGACAGATGTACATGTTAGCATATTCATCACTGATACAAGGAGTGTCACTTTCAGAGACCCAAAGTCTAAAGTTCCTATGCTACTGTGTTGTCTTAAAGGTAAAGAATCAGAGAGAGTCTTTATAAACTGTTTTGTGCACACACTAGTAATTCAGAAAGTAGTCTCGTCTACTTTCAGCACTTGTACTCATCTAGGTAGACTCGCGGACCTTCGACCTTGGCCCTTCCTACATGACAAAGGTACCAGTGATGGTAAAGTTCGGTCTGGGGTGGAACATGCCAAGGAGGTTCCCCCCTATGGCCTTGAAGGCCCCCTCCCTCAGCCTCCAGAACCATTTGGACCACAGGGAATGGGTTAATCACATTAGAGGCCCAGAAGAGAGATGGGAAGTAGACAGTACCGTGACAGCCGGGGTAGCACTGGCACGACTAATCCCGTTAGGCCAAGGAAAAAGGGGGACGCCATCGCGCCTACGAGGCTGGGAAAGAAAACACATTTTCCCAGGAATGAGTTCACCTGTATGGTAACTCAGAGAAGTTGGCCTGCTGATGCCTATTAGGAGAAACAATTGCACTTGGCACGTAATAGTGTTTTTAATACTGGGCATCACTCCATTGTCATTGGGGGTTCAAAAACAATAGGCATCAGACAGTGGCATCGCATGAGATCCTCTTTCATGCCAAGCTAAGAAAGCTCCCTTAACTTGCTTTACTTAGTTGACTAAACAGTGAGATGATGGGAGGGGACCTGGGGGGTGCTGTAAGAATGATAAAGCTTACTTTATCCGCCATTGTAAGTGCACCCGAGTGCAACCTTCATGTAAACCTTTGCGGGCAGGATAAGAATAGGATGCTCTCTATAAAAATATATCCTGCTGGGTAATCCGGCAGATGGCCGCAGCAGAAGACACTCCAGCTCCTCTGGCCACAGCAGCAGTAACGGGACAAGTCTGAACCCCTCTCTGTACCAGGACATGAGCGATGGTACTTAACTCCCGACAGTAAAGCTGGGAAACAGAGCCGTCAGTTTCCATCCATCAACTTTCTACTTAATCCCACACACTATTTATTCTCCCCATTTTCTTCTTTTTGGTATCTCCTCTTTTGTTGTGGGGATTAAGCCAAGTGGTAAAACAGTGATTTAATGATCTTTCCATGGCTATGTGCACCACTTATACCATGAGACAAACAAGCCGAGGCATTCTAAGAGTCACCCCTCAAAAGGCGCTCCTCAGGAACTGTGAAGCTTTTGATACGGCCTTAATCTTTCCCACTGACGTGTGATGTGCTGCCGCTGCTATGGGAAAGTTTAAAGTTCAGAGCTTTGTATAGACGCATTGTCAAAGAGACCCAAGTAAAACGGTTGGTTAA